TCATCGCCAGTGACGGCGTTGATGCCACTGTGGTACTAAGAAGCATCCACTAACTTGGCCAGACCGTTGACGCTGATCACAAAGCCACTGTAGTACGGCAAGACTGCCATGGCGATGGCACCCACGTAGAAGATACGAAGTTGTGGTCGCAGAACGTAACAACAAATGTGGTCTTAGCTGCGGACCACGTGGTCGTGCAGCATGTGGTGGTAGAGGATGTTGTGGCACATGGCACTCTTCCACAATAACTTGCAGCATAAGATGCGGGTGTGGTGATTTTGGCAGTATTCTGGCCACTGTGGACTTTGCTGCGGAGGACACACTTGTAAATGAGGACGTTGCTGTAGACGCCGAAGTCTGATGTAGAGGACGGGGTAGTCGATGATGTCGATGTAGAGGTGCTGGACGAACATGTTGATGCAGAGGACGCCCTAGTCGACGATGTGGATGTAGAAGGTGTGGTTGCCAGCAACGGTGATGTAGGGGAGGTGGTCGTCGCCAATGTTGATGTAGAGGTGGTCGGCGAACATGTTGATGCAAAGGACGCGTTAATGGATGATGTGGATGTAGCAGTAGTGGTCGCCAGCAATGTTGATGTAGATGACGTGGTAGAAGAAGATGTTGCCGCGGAGGACGCCGTCGCCCAAAGTGATGCCATAGAGCGGGTAGCCGTGCACAACATCGTCGTACAGAAAGCGGTTGCACAAGACGTCGCGGCAGAAGTTGAAGCTACTTGAACAGATTCCGTCATAGAGCATGTCGTTATAGAGAGTGTAGCCGCGCACCAAACTGTTGAAGGTGAATCTCAGTGCAGATGTTTCAGTGGGCAAAGCTGTTGCCGTTGAAGATGTACTTGTAGAGGATGTGCACGTACACGCTGAGAACCTCGACCGCACACTTTGGGAGGATGCTGGTATGGACAACATCGTCAGAGACAACGTTGGCCAACGCGATGGTCGTACTGCAGAAAGCGAGGATGCCGCGGAGGCCGTTCTAAAAGAAGCTCGCAAAGAGGACACCTTTGTTGAGCACGTAGTTGCATAGAAAGTGACAGCAGCACACAATGCAGCCACACCACAAGATCTCCGCCTCAGAGCACAATCTAAAGACGAAGAAGAACAAGTAGCACTCGACCGTGCCAAACCACAAGATCGCCGCCTCAGAGCACAATCTAAAGACGGAGATGACGCCTCAGCGCACGACGGCGCCAAACCACAAGATCTCCAACGCAGAGCACGGTCTAAACGCAGAGATGACCGAGTAGCGCACGACGGCGCCAAACCACAAGATCTCCACCGTAGAGCACGGTCTAACGGCAGAAGGATTTTCTGAAGTTCGCAAAGGTCGGTGACATAGACAAGGATGTTGACACACAGTGCCAGGAACGACATGAACCCCGGGAACGGCCCCGAGGCTCCGCTACCAATGTGAAACTAAGAAGGGCATCGGCACCTTTTCACTCCACAGAACATAGCGAACTCGTGTGCCTTGAGCCAAAACCCAACCAAACGTCGTAGCAGCTGTACACTTCTCGATTTGTGCCTGGTGGCACAGCTACGCGGCGGCTCTGGCAAAGAAGACATATCTTTGGGTTTCACAAGCCCCATAAATCCTACACTCTCAACCATAGCGGAAACCCGAACCCTAAACCCAAAGCTCTCAGCCCTAAAACCCTAAATCCCTGCGCTCTTAACCATCCTCCCGACATCCTAAACCCACAGCCCTTAACCCCTAAAGCCCTAAACTCTTAACCCTAACACCCGAATCCCTAACCCAGAGAACCCAATACCAGTTAGTTAAGGAATATACCTTAAATCAAAATATTAAGGACATTATAATTTAAGGCATATTCCTGAATTAAGGGGTATTGGGTTCTCTGGGAAATCCTGAACCCCCACACTCTGACCGACCTCTTGGAGCCACAAAGGTGGTCCTTCGTGGCCTGCGCAAGGTGTACCTCGTCTTACTTTCAGGACGCAAAGATCCCTAAAAGGGTTTAGGGCTCATATATATATATATATATACTATGCAGGGATTCATATGTCATAGTATAAGGGTAAAGGGCCTTTGCTTTTAAGAGTCAGTTGTTCCGTGAGGTGTGAGCGGCTAGAAGCTGAAAGTTTTGAGGATCCCCGGGTGAAGTCTTTTGAGGGTTCCGTTCTAAACCCTAAACCCTAAACCCCATGGTTTCGGGCTGCAGTAGCATTCCTGGAGCTGGGATTGCGAGAGTGTGACCTTGCGCAGGATCCCAATCCCCCCCTCCCCCCGACAAAATTCGGCGAGACACGTTTCAGCTAGAAGTGTGTGCGATTTGCGAAGCCTTCTTCACTGCAGCAGTTTTCGCAGATCCTGACCCTGCATGAATTATAGCTTCAGAGCAAGTTAGTACCGTGCCACATTGCGAGAGTATGTACGCCTTGAACCAGTAAGCTTGAGGACGCTACACAGTAGAAGCGGCACCTTATCAAGACTTAATATAGGGGCCGCAATAAATAGCATTTTGGTGGATATTCTACTATACAGATAATATGGAACTCCTAAAATATAGTATTGGTAATTATTGAGGCCCCTATATTAGGCCCCTGAACCCTTGAAGAGCTCTGTGTTTCACCCAAATGCTGCACATCAGCTGGATGCTGTCGGGGGAAGAGGTGGCGAGCATGGATGTGCAGGAGCTGAGCGACGCAAAGACAGTAAAGCAAGAACTGAATCGCAAGCATGGCTTGCCCCCGCGATTCAGGCAGAGACTGTTTCATTGTGGCAGTCCTGTGGATGATTCTGCCCGCTTGGACTCGATCCTGAAGCTGCAGTTGGTCTTGCTTCCATATTCGGCGACCTCAGAGACGCAAGCGGAAGAGCTGGCGACTGCCGCTCTCAATGGCTTGGTCTCCGAGGCTCGTTTTGGCAAAGCCTGAGCCTCAAGCCTTACTCACATAATAGATGGGCCTGAATAGTTACCTATACTATTTTTTGAGGGGCTCCTGATTATATTTGTAGTATAATATACCCCAAAACCCTATTCTTATCATTAAGGCCATTAAGGCATCTAGATTGCTCAGACTCAGAACCAGCAAGCAGGTTGAGGCCCTGTTGCAGCAGCCTTGGCACCCAGACATTACGGTCAGCGACGATGGCAGAAGTCCCGTGATGCTGGCGTCGCAGCACGGCCACGTCGAAGTCCTGCGGTTGCTGCTGGAGGCCGGTGCCGACAAAAACTTGGCCAACCATGATGGGAGAACTGCCCTCATG